GCTATGGTCCTACATTTGGGTCTCGCACCCGCCAGTTATCAGGTCAAATGTGAACTGCCCTCTGTCTGAATTCACAGTATTCATAAAACAGTAGACAAAAAGGGATGACCTACTGTTTCCAGCTAGAGAATCTGAAATGTGCATCCAGTGGACACTTGATCATCCCATGATGAGGCCACGGGAGAGGATTTGGGAATGGTGGTGATGCTGATAGGTCACATAACAGTGGCAACATGACAAATGTAGTAATCTACATCCGGACTGCATTCATACTACACACATTCATAGCATATAGAATGTACCCTTTTTGAAAGTGTCTTTGAAAGTGAAAGAAGATTCTGGACACAGCCAGAGCATAAAAATTCCAGCCACAAGAAGTAGGGGAAAAAAAGATAATTGTAGGCTCAGGAAGTGGGGGGAACATGGATGCTACCGTAATTAACTTAATTATTTTAACATGTCAAACTAATACTATAATCACAGAAATTAACATTTTTTTTTTCTTTTTGCAAAGAAACCCAAAGATCTTTTGAAACAGTTCATATGGCCTGTATGTTGTTTATATGGAAATTTCAGTGATTCAGTGGGATGAGTGGATAGATAACAACCTGTTTATTTTTATCTCGCATTTTTCTGAAACATGCACTGCTAGTCATTGAAAGTATAATGGTAGGTTGTTGGCATGAAATTACACTAATAAATAATGACGTGATCAGCATGATCTTCTATGAGGCTTTTTTCATAAATAACAGAAAAGATCAAACACTGCTTATTGGTTCTGTGGTATTATCAGCATAGCTAACATAAACCTTCTTAATCTGGAAATATTGAAAACACACTAAAATAAAAGTTAAGAAAGCAGATAGGATCCACCTTAACTGTGCTGCTGTATCGCATTTCATAAACAATGGAAAATTCAGATGTAATGAAATTTCTTTCCACTCATGCAAAAAAGATACAACAAAATTAGCTTCAGCATTTGCCATCTGTCTGCTTTTGTAGTTTTTAATATGGGTTAAAAGACAATAAACTCACCTTATCATCTCTTTTTCAAGAATGTATATATTAAAGAAATAAATGGAGGCCAGGGAAGAAAAAAAAAGTATTTCTGTGTAGATTTGCTCTGCAAGGATTTCATTTATTAAAAAGCTGGTACACTAAAAAGTCAAAGTACACACAATACACATACGAACAAAATTCACAAAATAAAAGTTAAGAAAGCAGATAGGATCCACCTTAACTGTGCTGCTGTATCGCATTTCATAAACAATGGAAAATTCAGATGTAATGAAATTTCTTTCCACTCATGCAAAAAAGATACAACAAAATTAGCTTCAGCATTTGCCATCTGTCTGCTTTTGTAGTTTTTAATATGGGTTAAAAGACAATAAACTCACCTTATCATCTCTTTTTCAAGAATGTATATATTAAAGAAATAAATGGAGGCCAGGGAAGAAAAAAAAATATTTCTGTGTAGATTTGCTCTGCAAGGATTTCATTTATTAAAAAGCTGGTACACTAAAAAGTCAAAGTACACACAATACACATACGAACAAAATTCAGAAAGAACTGTTTAAGGCAATTTAAGACATTTAGTCACCAAAATTAAAAGTTTATTTTGCTTATAATTTGATGAAGACACATTAAGTGTCTCCTTGTCCTTATGAACTTTACTAGACTGTACGATTCTGAACTCCCCTCTAGGGCCAGTATTAAAATTAGATAAGAGCCAGACAGAAATATCTAAACAAGATCAGAACTTATTGTAAATCATAATCTTATAACTTGAAAAGCACACAGAGTTCAGTCAGGTTCAGGGCACTGATATTTCAGTGTGATGTAGGAATGCAGACATAAACAGCCACGAGACATTCTAATTTTCTCATTTTTCATGTTTTGTTTGGTCTTGCACTTCTTCTGTGCCCTGGAACCCTTTCATGTAGCTATGAGGTCAAATGCCGCCTGTTTGCACGCCGACGAGCATTGTCTCTTTGTGGCAAGCTGGCCTGAATAAGTGTCTGTGTGACTGTTAATAAACTGGAGAAAGTTGCATGGACATGCCGGCACTGGACCTTCAAAACTGTAAGATGAAACTGAATTTCTGCGGGAAGCATGATCTCAAAGACCACCAGAAAAAAAAGAGGTCAGTCTGCTATCAAAACTGATTTATACTAAACAGTTTGAGGTTTCTTGGCTCTTGTATCCTAAAATTGTTCTCAAATCTAATACACTTTGCTAACTTGAAGTAGCTAATAGCCAAAATTACTCAGTTCCTTTCGTCCAGTTTGAGCATAAATGGATTTGACTTTGATTGCTGTTGGGCTTTTATTTCTGAGGTTTAGTCAAACTCTTTATTAAAAGCAGAAGACAAACAAAAGAGTTTACTGCAGCAATTCTGAATCATTCCAGTTGTAACAAATAAATCTGAATATATTAATTTAAATTGTGTAAAAAAAAAAAAAATGTTTATCAGATAAATTAGCTTAATTTTCCCATTGTCTTGTTTGATTTTCCTCTTTCAAAATAAGGATCAAGTTAAAAAGTTCATTTAGAGTTATTTACCTAAATTTAGGTAGGTTGAAAGAGACACATTTTAAAATGAAATAATCTGACCATTTGTTGCCTGCACTGTGGCCTGAAAAATGATTTGAATATTTATTTGGCAACATTGTGGAGTCACCAGAGACATGAGCAGAGACACAACGTGAGAATTTCCCATGATTGCATAAGGGAGCTTATTGATGGATGTTTTCAAGTGGTCACACAGAATGGTCAGAATGATGTACAGTCCCTAAGTGAAGAGATGAACAGAACAAGAGGCTGAGTGCAGTGGGGTTGCGGTGAGTGCTGAATGTTTAGGGATGTGAAGAGACTGGAGTGTGCATTTGGCACAAAGTGATCTGTAAAGGTCAAGATATCTTGGACGACTCCCAGACATTTAACACTCCAGGGGGCAATGACTGTGCATGTGACCTTCAACTGTAATGGACAGAGAGCGTGTGGGGAAGTCACAACCTGGAGGAAGAGGATGTCCGAACTGTCATGGATGAGCTTAAGGAGATGATTAAGTGTCTGAGTGAAAATGTCAGGAGTGGCAGGTTGTGTTTTCTGTGGAATATATGTGGAAAGTAGGCCTAGTTCATTTCAGGAAATAAGCCCCATTCAGTGCATGGGTTTGTTCACCCATGTATCACAACCACACCTATCACAGCCCTGTATTTTGGAAGAAATTTACAGCATTTTAACTTCGACTTGCTTTGATAATCAGTGGTGACTGTAACTTCTCAAGCTACCAGCGACTTTTCTATGCATCGGAGAGTCGATTTTAGTTCACGTCAATATGAAGCTGCTGTTGCAATTTAATGTGGCAAAGAATAGAGTTTTAGTGGTTTGATATGCTAAATCTCTACTCATCGGAAAACTAGCCTAATTAGTCAACTGGAAAAGCTACTGAAAGAGAGAAAGTCTACTGTCGCGACACTGTCCTTTATGTGCGAGCCAACTACGTGTCACTTTAGTTTAATTGGAGTCAGCTTTGACATCTGTTATTCAGGTAGCTAGTTATCATCAGACAGGGTAATGCATCAGAATATGAGTCATGGTGTTTTTACAAAAGTTTTGTGTTAATTATTGAGCCTACTGTAAGTGTAGCCTACTGTAAATCTTTCCGTGGAAATCTTACCGGAGGAAGAATGGACACTAGCGCTTTGTTTGAGAAAATTAGCTGGGCATTACTGGCTACATAAAGAGAAGTCACCAAGGAATTAGAAATACTTGTGTAGCCTATAAACAGGAACAGAAGAAGAAGAACTGGAACAGAAATCTACAGGAAATTTTCATCTGACTTTCCAAGACCAAACCACCTACAAAGCATACAGGTAGGCTACTGAACAGTCACCAATACAATTAATTGGCTGTAGGTGCACTCAGTTTTGTCAGGTTGCACTGACTGCTTTCTTCTTAATTTTCTAACCTAATAGAAGACATCTTGGTACAGGATAGACCGGCTAGTCATCACCCTGGTAACTGTTTTTCAGGTTAAGTGTATTTTTAAAAGTCTATTTCTAGAAGAACATACCTTAAATATGTCCAATGTTATTGTCCAGAAAGAAAGATACAGTTCAGTAAACATATACTTTTTAAGAGCGAGTACAAAGTCCAAACATTTTCGTTAAACCACAAAAAATTTTATAATTTAAAAGTTTTTGTTTCATAGTTAAATAGAGATATGGGGCATCATTTATAAAATTATGTGAAGAAACCGTCTTAAATTTGCTCTTTTGATCATCTCTCAAATATGCGTAGGCTACGTGTGATTCATAGAATGAACATAGGCACAGAAAATGCACGTATGCCTATCTTTCAGTTGTGAAATCTTTGAATCGCAAATGATCTTGAACTTGCGCTTCACTGAATGGTTTCAGCTCTCATGCCTTGTAAATGACTCCTAGTCCTAATTAATGTCATTAACATATAAAAGATCACCAGTCATCATCCAAATCCTTTCATTTAGAACAGCGAGCTGTAAGAACAGCTTACATTTTCAAAAACCTGCAGTAGCCTACTCCGACAAGAAAAAGTGTGTACGTCTGCTCAGACCCTCCTGACGTGACACTAAGCACTTTTCCACGTCAAAGGCAGTTTTTACAAATGAGCGTTGGTGTGGATTTAAGCGTACGCACACTCTAAGATCAAATCTGAGCGTTCACACACTTTATAAATGAGGCCCATGGTGTTTGTGACAATCAGCCCTGCCTTAATTTAATCAAGCACTATTGAAATGAACCATTCGTTGTTGGATTAATATGGATTTCAGGTTATAGGCTACTAAAGCTAAAACAAACCAAAGTGATTGAAACTGTAGCCTATTATAAGAGCACAGGAATGCTATGATTTTATGCCAATGACTAATTTTTTCCTCTGAAAATACTTCATACACTACATTAAAATGGTTTCTGTGAAAACATCACAATCATAGGTCTATTTATTAAATTTGCCGTTTTTTATTTGAACAGCTTTCATCTCCAATACATAATTTGTTTAATTGTTGGCAGCATGCTCTGTTGTGAACACATCAATTTATCATCATTTCCTCAATGTATGTGGAGTAATGAAGTACTTTTGTATGTACACCATCCCGTATGACTCCTCTTGTGCCATGGAAACATGACGTGAACCCACGTAGACCCTATTAGCCCACCAGGGAACATTTTGAAAAATTATAATTTATACTTAAATATAATTATTTTAGATGTAAGTTATATCTTAGAAATTCCACAGACATTCTTTAGGGTGAAACGTTGTCTTCAGTGCAAAGGACACATTTACCTCAGATATAATTTTTCATGTGTTCAAACAGAAAAGCAGCATTGTTTTTATATTTAGAAAGCTATCGCTGCCATGTTACCGATGAGATGTGTGAATAAATGTAATAAAAGTATTTTTATTTGATATAAATAGAGAGATAAATAAATTAAATGGTGTTTTGCAGTCTCTGCGCTCAGCATTTGCAGATTGTCAGGGCGTTGTGTTCATCGTTGTTTTCTCTCTTGCCGCTGTAACAAATATGAATGAAACTGAGTGTTATTATGGAATCATAAGAAATAGCCCAAACATTCCTCCGTAAATTAATATTTGCCATGAATCCTATTAACATTCTGTGCTTACAACTAAAAATCAAGCACTTTACTTCTATCCCGAGGGATAATTTACAGTCTGGATTTATCACAAAATAAATCTCGACAGGGTGATCAGATGGAGTGGCATATTAGATGGATGTTTACGAACTAAATATGGACATGAATTATTTACTCTGAAATATTTGCTTATCATTTTATCTGTATAATATCTTTAAAAAACGAAGACCCGAACAATAATACAGTAAAATTATTCCTGAAGTCCTCTGAGGTTATTTTAAATACAATCGATAAATGAGATGCAAGATGGCACCAGTTTATGTTTGCCATGACTGATCAATCAGAATCAAGTATTTGAAAAAAAATAAAGAAAGAAAAAAAACACTCAAATAAACTAATTTTCATTCAAACATAAGGCCTTACATGAGTTTTAATATCCAATATTTTTGAAAATCATTCTACCTTCAGAAGATTTGTTGAATCGTGTCACGTATGGTGTAATCTGTGTGTCCATACTTTTGGAATACATTCACATCGCTCTACATCAATCTCACAGTCCTCCTCACTAACAGTAGACAGAGGCTCTGGTATAAAAACAAAAAGTATAAATAAAATAAAAATTTTAGCGCAGATGTAATAAATGTGCAAAAAAAGCATGTTCTTGTGTGTGCCTTAATGGGTCTATTTTGAATAAAAGTTCCTGCAATATAGCTACTAACATATAATAAAAAGTAACCGAGGCATCCGTGCATTAGGCCAGAACAGGAAGTGGCAATACGTGAGTTGAAATCAATTACTCACTGACCTTGTTTACTGGAGGGGTACGTCACACATCGCTCTGCCATCCAGTCCCATATTAAACCTTTGTTGCACAGCCTCTTGTCTTCTGGCTTACGTGTAGGAGAGCAACTGCATACACACACACACACAGACATATTATTACGCCAGCAAGCACATATGGCTGCCACTCAGCAGGTCCAATCTGTAATTTCTCCAAGAGCAACATTGTTGTATCAACAGTGAATAACACAGCATGGCACTGGAAAAATAAGGGTTGGGTCTAACATTTCAAGGAGTTTGATGTTACACCACAAGAAAGACCCAGGCAATTTCAGTAAAAATGCATTGCACTCAGTGTAAGTGTAGGGGAATGCTGATTGCCTCATTGATAACTTCATCCAACCCTACCTGTTTGTAATCAGTCTGGAATTTTCTAAAACTATTAAAGGGGTCATATGATGCGATTTCAAGTTTTCCTTTCTCTTTGGAGTGTTACAAGCTGATTGTGCATAGATAAGATCCCTGAACCCCTGAATTCTTTATCAAAGTTAAGACTCTGCCACGCCCCCACATATCTACCTCACTATGTGGAAATATTTGCATAATGCTGCCCAAATGTGCACGCAAAGAAAGACCCGCAGTTAGTGTTGAAGCAGCCATGTCAGGGAGACGCTGTGTGTTTCTAGGCGAAAGCAAAAGCACTTTATTTGGCCTTCCGGAAGTAGATGCATTTAGGAATCTTCAAGATCACTTACAACAGAACAGCAATGCATTTTATGGACGACTGTTTCGTGAACCTAGGAGAGGAGGTTATTCTGACTTTGCTATGACAATCTGGCGCTTCTGAATCAGCTAAGCGTTTGAGAGAGGCGGGGCATAGAGGACCTACAATAATGTACAGTATTTGAAAAATAATGTGTTTTTTGAACATTAAAGCATGTCAACATATTCTGTTACACCAAATACACAAAATAATGATCTTTAAAAAAGCATCATATGACCCCTTTAACTAAAGAAACATTAGCTATCATTATTGAATATTACACTGTATACCTAATATTCCATGTCAAGGTTACACCCAGTTTCACACAAACCTATTCTTTTACTAACCTCTTCTTGTGCTTCTCACGAACATGTCTGCGGATCAGCGAATGTTCCTGGCACATACACTCAGTGTGATTGGCTATTTTCACCAGCACGGGCTCTGGTCCAGTTTTATACGGAGCCAGACTCACACTCAAAATCTGTGAGGAAGAGGATGTCTTTTACAAACAGTTAAGTGGAACAGAATGTACACATTAACACATGTTAAGGAGATAGTTCAGCCAAATATTGTTGCTCTCCCTCATGTTGTTCCAAACCTCTTTTTTTCTGTAGAACGCAAAAGGAGAAATTTTGAAGAATGATTCCGGTCGATTTTTTCCATTCATTTATAATCGACCGATGCCAAGGCTTTAAAACTTTAAAAAGGACACAAAAGCACCATAAAAGTGGGCAGTATGAGAGTAAATAAAGTAAGTAAATGATGACAGATATATATTTTTTAATATCTGGTTGAACTGTCCCTTTAAGACTGTGTTTTGATTGTATATTGAATGAACTGAACATAATTTCCATATAAATGAGCAAGTACAAACAAATTGTATTGGACATTAATTTGTATGTAATACCCACGCAATGCAATGAGTAGTGCTCACAGTTTTATTGACATAAGTCACGCTTGTATTACGGCAGGTAACTCCCTCTTTGTTGCAGCAGCCGCCACACCTGAAGACTGAGACGCACGGGGGCTTAAAGAACACAGCTGTATTGGTGCCCAGCTCTTTTGCCACATCTACACACGTCTCTCTGGGCATACACTGTGTTTTCTGCCATTCGTCATCAATATCTGAAAACAAGGTACTTTTTAGGTACACAAATCTATGTACAATACTTAGACATCACATGTTCGCAATTATGTTTGCAAGAGGGTCTCAACCTTTTAGCATCTCTGGGCTGAACGAAGCAGCTGCATAGCGAGTTGACCTGCGGTTCTCCGGCGGAGTGGCGTATTCAAAGTGCTTCAGCTTGAGCCTGCATCTCCACAGCTTCCAGTCTGGGTATTCGGTCAACATAAGAAGCTCATCCAGACTCCCAGCTTCCCTTAGTTCCTGTTCCCACCTCTCCTGGTTTATGTCCTATGGAGAAATGCAATCTTGAATGTGAAAAGAATGAGGGCTGCTGATTGTAATACAGAGTTAAAACATTTTTATAAGAATTTGTTTGAAGCATGCTGAGCAAAATTCAGCCAAAAGTATGGAACATCACAGCGGGAGTTAGATAAATAGAAGGATTAAAAATGAATGCCCACAAATTAGAAACACCTTTCTTTCCCAACTTTACAACTTACTACAAAGACTTGCATCATACAAACATCCTGCTGTCTGTGAGGTATGTGAAGTCTTGCCATAATAAAAGGCCAACCAGTAGGATAAAACTAACAACGCATTACTAGATAGATAGCACACAGCTACTAATTTCTTCAGTGGAAGGCTACAACTTTTTAAAAAGAAAAAAATCTGAATGCACATTAAAAGGAACATTTTCTTTCTATGCACTAGAGGGCAGTAGTGATAATCAACATTGGATTTTCTCAGCATTTTTTGGCTGTGTAAAGAATCGGTGTTACACTAGGGAAAGGATGCAGCTGTTCCTCGTGTAGTTCTGCCACAAATGAATATGCAGTGTTGCATCAGACCATACAGATCCTTAGTTTTGCAATCTCAATATAATCCACAGTGTGTTCCCTTACAACTTGTTAAAGATATACATATATTAAATATTGACATGACAGTGCAACCTTCAGCATGGGTAAATGGAGCCTTGAATCATTATACATAGTTCTGCTGACTGGACAATTGCACACAGACTTTGTGAGACCTAAGTGCTGGATTTCTCTAGATTTCTCAATCTTTAGAATTTATCTAGAGCTTTGTGCACAGTCTAGGCTTGTCAGGCCATAAAGTTAAATTTTTTTTTCTCTCAAACCAGCTTGTGTAGCCAAACACATGGAACACCCTCTGGCAGAGGCTCACTCTAAACAACTGGAACATACGCTCTATTAGCTCAGTATGAACCACCTGTTTAGAAGCTCAGTGAAGACACAGATCTCAGGGATTGGAGTTTGGGACGTGTGCCACCAATATGAACAGAACATCATGGCTGTTTTGCAAAACATGGATTGAATAATTACAGTACTAAGTGCCTAGTGACAGCTGCAGAATAACCTTGACAAAGTCATAAGTGGTCACACTTTCAGTGGCCAGTGGCGATATTGATTCCTAGGGAGTAGGGTATAGTATAATGCCGATATGATGCACATTACATGGTTCTCTCTGGAACATGTTTCTTATTGGTCAATCGTGGCATTTTGCGGTCTGATATTTTCTAATATTCTCGCTGTATATCAGTGTGCTCATCTGGCTACTTTTTTAGTATCTCTTGTGTAACAATGCAGATTCACGCTCTTGTTTCATACAAACACAATGGGCACTGTCTTGTGACTCATCTATTGATTGTAGTGAAAGGAGAATGTCAATATTGTTAGTAATATAACGTTTTTTGTTTTGCTGCTAGGCAGATTTTATGCTGTGTAATGCTATTTTTTTCTTAACAGAAGTAGAAAAAAAATTGAATGATAGCATATGTACATACATCTTGAAAAAAATGATTAAATGAGCATTTACTTTACACTTTACTCAAAATGTATCTGTAATTGTGTTTTTACTTATTTAGTTAAAGCTGCAGTCCGTAAATTTTACCATTGTCTCCATCTCTGTTTGAAACCTGCAACTGCAGTTATTTGCAGAATTATCTTCCTTGCGTGGGTTGTGCACCAGCACGGCTCCAGTGCGGATGAGTCTTATGTTTTGAGGTGTATGTGTGGCTGTCAGTCACCGCACCGCTGTGGATACTGTACTTAGGAATCACAGATTCTAGCCTACATCTTGGAATATATGACCCAAATAAGAATTTTCACTGGATATTGTCATCTGAACAAGCAGTAACAAGTCTGCCACGTTTGTTCTGACCAACTGAGGAAAAAAGCATTACAATAAATCACGCTACCAATGGTGATTAAATCTAACGATCGGTTAGCTCATATCACATCAAACCGTGCAAATTATTATTATTATTGTTATGCTTTGTTCTTAAATTATTAATGTTAACAACATCAGCATTGCATGACTATATGTATGTAGTGTGTATTAAGGTGAAGATTTCAATTTCTGTACAGTCTAATCTCTAATTGTCATAGCATTCAAATTTTATATTAAGAAATTATTTTAACCCAAAAAGCTAATTATTCTCCCTTCTAACTGCCATCTGTGGCTGTGCTTCAAGTAGAACGCACCTAATGACGCAGTGGCAGCATGCTCCAATTTCCCGCGAGTTCCTACCAGTACCACTCAAATGAGAAAACATTATAATAAGATAACCGTTGTGAATCGGGCTAAAGAAAGGTGGTAGTTTTGAACACTGGCTGGTTGCTCAAATATTGATACTCAAATATTTGATCATTTTTAACCACAAAAAGTTACGGACTGCAGCTTTAACCAGCTGATATTAATTGGCTAAGTGGGTACTTTTTTGGTACCGCTGAACTTAAGACCATTACTTTTGGTAAACGCACCCCTGGTCAATGCATCGGTCACTAGTTCACCCTTCATTACAGAAGAGCAAGAGTTTATGGAGTAGATCTCACACATGGGGAGGAGAGCACATACAAACCCTGAAGTCTGCCACCTCTCATTCAATATTGAGAATATTGAGTTAAGCAGGCAAAAACCAGCACTGGCTTGGTTTTGATTGTTTACTACACACCGGGTGTGTCCCACAAAAAAGGCGAATAAAAAATGGCAATAGGGGCCAAAGGACTTCCAATAATGCTTTTATGAGATGGGTAAGCCACAAAGCGCGTGGAAAGTAAAACAGCCGAGGCCGGGATGGAGAGGGCTGGCACGCGATATGGAAGTCATCACTAGAGAAGTCTTGCATCCTGCTGTCGTGTATTGACATGATCATCTATGATCTCTTCAATATGTTAGGGTGTAGCCCTCTGCTTTCACTTACCCATTTAAACGATGCAACAACAAACAGAACGAGCGAGAGTAAAAGAAAGTAAGAATATGAGTTACAACTGTGCAAAATTAATGAGGTGGAGGCCCCTAACAAGGAAGAAGAAATGAGACGGATGAGAACATTGAGAGCTTGAACATATAAAAGACCCTACAATGCCTCAGGCTGCACTTGGATACCAGGCTACATGCCACACACATATGCTAACACAGCCTCTTTATGTAGTGTATCTGTAAAAACTAATTGGATATTATGCTATTGCGCCACTGCTTGGAACCCATAACCCTTCTTACATAACCTACCATTGATAAACACACACAGAAAAACAGATGAATGGCCTTAGCAGCTTGTCTTTTGAAATTCTCACTAGTAGCCACTGAGTTCCCAAGTGTGCTTCCAGAGGAACCATCTTACTTCAAAGACTGCAATTCTGAACATTGTCATTTACTTCAGACTGATTCAAGCCTTACTTTGCACAGTAACATACAGAAAAAATGATCGAATTTGCTAGTAAGGGACCTTAAGGTCACAGCAGGAGGCCCCATCCGGCCCTGCTGAGCTTGCCACAGATCCCTGCTCAGTGAGTCAGTGCAAAATGACTTTAAATCCTCTTGGATTAGCCATTTTAAAGTAATAAAAAAGAACTTAAAAAAAAAAGATATTTTTAAAAATGTCAGTGAGGTCTAATGCTGTTTTATGGACATTCTTTATAACTTTTTTGTCTTCCTTAGAAGAATGAAGGTCATTCAGGTTTAGAATGACATAAGGGTGAGTGCGCTCTTAAAAATAAAGGTTCTTTATTGCATCAATGGTTCCATGAAGAACCTACGTTCCCATTCCGCAAAAGGTTCTTTACAGTGGATAACTGTTCTTTAGATTTTTTAAATGCTCTAAGAACTAAGAAAAAAAAATTTATTTTAAGAACTTTGGTTCTTCTTTTGCATCGTTGGAAAACCCGCTTTCGCAACCCTTATTTTTAAGTGTAAATGGACAGACTCTGCATTTTAAAGACCTCCCAACTTTATATGTATAACAACTGAAAACCTATAAAAATAAAAATAAACTATTTTCAACTAAACCTCAGTATCATTCAAATTTGACTGTAAACAAACAAAATGTCCTGAGGTTTTGGCTGCACTTGGTGTTCTACATGTCTGCTGAGGGATGCCATACTTACTCTCTGGGGTCTGTAGGCGTCCACGGCCAGCATCAGTCTGACATACAGGAGTAACAACATATGAAGTCCAGCACATTTCTGTGTCTTCATCTTGCTACTAACTCTCCAGGATACCGTCCAGTGACTGAACAGCGAGGGAGGCCAGTCTGCGTATACACTCACAAATCACGAAGCAGGTTTCTCACACTGGACCACACAGGCGCACCAACAGAGACCTGTCACAACGAGCTTTCCGGAGCCAAATGAGCTTTCCTCTTTAAAAAAAAAAGAGGAGGAGAATGAGACATCAATCAGTGCTAGTCTAGGACCTTTTTTTCCCTTTTTTCTGCGATTCTCTCTGATCAGGACAACCCCTTGATGCTGTTATCTGTCTTGGCCAGATTTGGCCCAGTGTCTCCACGGATCCAGATGAGTCAAACTATATGTGCTTGCAAAATCCGCCAAGGGCTCACATCCAGTCTTCTCCAGCCACCAGTGCGTGCAAGGCTGTCTGGGAGGCATGCATGTCTGTCCTGTCGCTGTGTGCTCCAGTCCCACTCTGCTGTCACCACGTTTCCTGCTTGCCGACTTCCAGGCTCAGTTGCTCGCACACAGAACATGTGGTTTTAAATGTGATCCAGACCTCTACAGAGGGCAAGGAGTGAAAGAGGGGGAGGAGGGAAGGGGGAACGGAGGGATAAAGGGAGGAGAGAGAGAAAGTGCGTGGAGAAGAGAGACTGAATGCAGCCAATATCCCACTTAAATGCAGCAAAGTGGTGGAATGAAATAGGAGGGGAACTAAGCCGACATGCCCTTTCTCTTGTTATCTGTGTGTGTGTGTCACTCTCAGGCAGACCCAACAATGAGCTTGTAATACGAGTCGGGAATTAGAGGGAGTTTTAATGCAGTGTAATGGGCTGTGAGTGCCGCTCTCTGCACCCACACTCTACGAGCTCTATTGGATCATCTGAATGCTTTAACTTTAAAAGCTTCAAAATAATCTATTATCAGCGGTCAAAGGAATCTATTACTAGATTGTTTGTGTAGATTCTCAACATCACTTTAATCAAATGTGGATGAATTGTGTGGTCAAATGTAGATCTAAAATGACACAGATATTGGATAAAGGAAATCATGTTGTGATCGGATACAATGTGAAGAGCCAAATACAAAATAAAAACAGAAATTAATAGATTCAAATAAAAGGTCATTATTAAAAAACATTACAAGAAATACATAGATTAAAAGTAATACATGACTTTGTAACTATCAGAAATATATCAGAAATAATTGGAGTAACATTTTGCATATGTGGCCCCACAAATATGTGTACCCTTAAGTCGCACTTAAAATATGAATGTCAGTGTATTATATGAAATTATCACACCGGTATCTGCAAACAAATGATGTTTTTCTGAGCTGTTTATAATTACTTTTAACAACTGATCCCAAGGTGATTTTTAGTGGATGTATAAAGTCCATTTCCCTCAAGTTCACACAGTTGTACTAGCATATACAGTATATTATGACTTTTTTCTTGCAGACGAATACAATCTATTAAAAAATGTCCTGGCTCTTCCAAGCTTTATAATACAGTGAATGGCTGTTGAGATTTTGAAGTCCAATAAAGTGCATCCATCCATCATAAAAAGTGCTCCACATGGCTCCAGGGGGTGAATGAAGCAAATCGATGCGTTTGTGTAAGAAAAATATCCATATTTATCCGGTCTCATCCAACAATTTTCTTTATAAATCCTCATTTTGTACTAATTTGTGAACAGTGTTTTGATTTGCTCTCTCCTCTGTGCTACCGCGTTCGTCACTTCTCTACGTCATCCGCTAGAAGTCCACTCTAGACTTCAAAATCTCAACAGCCATTCACTACCATTATAAAGCTTGGAAGAGCCAGGACATGTTTTAAGATAATTCCAATTGTATTTGTCTGAATGAAGACAGAAGTCATATTCAACTAGAATGGCTTGAGGGTGAGTAGATCATGGGGTGCTTTTCAGTTTTGGGTGAACTATCCCTTTAACTATGAACAGAAAGACATCCAGAAAGTGTCCATACGTCATTTAAAATCTCTTTTTGCTGGATGTTTGAAGCACTATAGCTTACTATGTTGCTTTTAAATAAATGAAACATGGTTATAAGTGTGATTTAAATATCCAAATACTTCTTGGAGCCGCAGAATAAGTTGAAGGCACAAAAAAATAAACAAAGCACATATTATTCCCATAGAAAGGGATCTTCCAAGAAAAATTTAGAACTTTTGACCGATCTTTGATTGCCAAACTTTTGCCCTCTCAAATCCATTAGTGGCTGATCTGTAGTCTGAGATGGCTTGATCAATCTCTTCTTGTGTGTTCATGACAAAAGGCCCTGAAACAAATAAATAAATCCTCTGGTTTAAAAAAATATATATTTTGAATAATGTAGAAATACAGAATGTTTATAATATAACACATGTAAATATATTTATATGCAATATTTACCTATTCAAATTAGCACTGTCAATTTAACATGTTAATTCAGTGCAAATAACTATAAAAACTACAAAGTATCAAAAAATTACAGAACATTATACCATATTATATCATATTAATATTCTGCATTAGAAGCAAGAGATTTCAGGAAGTCATATAGTACCACTCAAACTTTTTCTTATCTTGATGTGATTGTATTGACCATTCTGAGGCTGCATTTGGACACACAGAACCAGGACCAAAAAGCCTGACTCAACCTCTCTAATCTGCGGTCAGTTTCTGATATTGATGTACAAAAAAGCTTGATACTCATGCCAAAAGGCTACACTATACCTTTAAGAGCACTTTAAAACTCTGTACCATTTATACAAGCACAATTCATGGGCACTCAACTTTTTTTTAATATCTTGCCTTCAAAACCTCTCAAGATGAGCCAAAAGAAGAGACACTGCTTTAGTGACTCAATGGATGAACTATGACTTTATCCACTATTTGAGTTAAAATAACACAGTACTATCTTTTCCCAGAATTGTGTGTAAGGTATGATGTTTCACAGTCATGCATTTAATGAGCAAAATAAAGACTTACTCAAAATTTGTTTGCCTTAACTAGGAAAAATGCCATGTAAACCACGTTTATAATGTTTGTAAGTACTGTACAGTAACTTTGGGATTAATGGAAAATAATAATAATTAAATAATCATCAAGACATCTGATAATAATTTTTTTACCTTTAGGAATAGGCTGCAAATGCTTTGCACCTTCCTTCAGCACAAAGTCGAGGTACATGGTTGGAGTTCTCGTGTAAACCTTTGACTGGCAACAGAAAAGGCATGTAAGTACCACAACATAATATTTAATCTGGAAAAAATTATGGTTGACAGCAGAAGACTACTGTGAAAACAACATTTTATGTTCTTTATTCATAACATATCCATTTTTACCAGATCTTGTCATTGCTAAAAGACAAAAAACAAGGGAAATTGTTCAATATTGTTTAAATTATGAGCTCAAACAGATGTAAAAACATTGTGTGTGAGTTCCAGTGCATATCTGGTTCCAGTAAGCCCAAGTATTTGGCTGACCCACATTTAACTTCAATGCTGCATTCACCCCTCTGCCCTAGAGAAACCCTCCATAACCACATTTTACATTTAAAACATTTTACAAAAACCACTTCCAATGAAGCCTGCTCCGAATTTCCTGCTGTTGTCTGAGAGAGGGGGCAGAGGATGCCCTTGCAGCAGCAATTCGCCTGATGGACTCCAGTATCGGATTGTAAATGGGACGTTCTGATTGGATGGAACATTTACAAAGAAGTCGGCCGTTTGGATCAAACATTCGGTTATAGCTGCTCAACATGACTCTAGGATCTTGTATTTTGTATTTCCCGTAAATCATAGATGGGAAAGAGACAGACCGAGGTGTGGGTAATAGTCGTAATGTGTTGATAAATGGATGCACAAATGAACATGTTTGCGAAATTACAGACGATAAACAGATGCAAGTGTCTGGCAAACGGAGGCGTACTGACTACTTTTTTTCACTCAGTGGTTTGGTTCAAAGAGTTTAGAATAATTATGAGGAGCATCTTTTTTATCACCTGATAAACATGAAGGCCTTCTGACTGGTAAAATCATCCATACTTCATATTAATGCTTTAGTATATCTGAAAACTACTAAGAGACCTTTTAAATACAATAAACTTTTTAAATAGTTTTTTGAAGGTTTTGGCATACTTACTGATAGTGAAAAGAGGGATAAGAATGGAAACTATGAGGAAAAGAAGGAGAAACTGGGCTCCCAAACAAGCACCTTTGCTCTGTGAAGCACTTGTGCTAACTACGTTAGGCTAGAAACGACTTTACTCCAAGACACCCACATGCTTTGAACAAAGAATTTCCATTACTTATCCAGTTGTTTATTATTACTGGATAAGTATTTTTAAAGTATTTCCATTCCTAATCAAATATATCTGCTTATGAATAATTCCAATTTGTGAACCTTCTGAGTGACTCATTGAAAACTATTCAAATGAACTGTTCATTCACAAATCAGTTTTTCTACATTCACACAACTCTGATGATTTCCTGATTTATTTCTATTGAACCATTTATATTAAACTAATGGTCAAAAGATTGGATTTTTTTATGTTTTCAAAACAAGCTTCTTATGCTCATCAAGCCTGCTTGTTTTTCTTTTTTTTAATTAAAATTAAAGTTATATTGTGAAATATTGTTACAATTTAAAAGAAAAGTTGTATTATTAATAATTAAATACCATCAATAATTGAATAGTCAGCATATTAGAATGATTTCTGAAGAATCATGTGGCATTGGATACTGGTGGAATAAATTACAATACATTAAAATTGAAGAATAAGAATATATTTAAATTTATTTTAAATTGTATCATAGCAAATTGTAATAATACCTCACAGTATTACCTTTTACTGGTGAGCATAATAGACTTCCCTCAACAATCCCAATATATATTCTCTATATATATATATATATATATATATACGTATATGCAGTGCCTTGCTAAATATTCATACCCCTTCATTTATTTCACATTTTATGTTGCAGCCTTATGTTAAACTGCTTTAAATTACTTTTTTCCCCACATCAATGTACACTCCATACACCATACTGACAAAGCAAAAACAGAACTGTCACCAACTTTGTAAATTTATTAAAAATAAAAAACTGAAATAAGTACATTGCATAAGTATTCTCATTACTTAGATAACTCATTACTTAGCTGAAGCATCTTAACAGCCTCAAGTATTTTTGTGTATGATGCGACAAGCTTTGCACATCAGAATTTGGCAATTATCTGCCATTTTTCACCTCACCTCTTCAACTCTCAAGCTCTGTCAGGTTGGATGGGGGCAGATGCACATTTTCAGGTTTCTCCAGAAATATTTGATTGGGTTCAATTCCAGGCTCTGGCTGGGCCACTCAAAGGCATTCACAGAGTTGTCTATAAGCCACTCTTGCTGTGTGCTTAAGGTCATTGTCCTTGGAAGGTGAACCTTCTGTCCAGTCTGAGGTTCTGAATGCTCTGGACTAGGTTTTTATTAAGGCTATCTCAATATTTTGGTGCATTGAGCTTTTCTTCTACTCTGACGAGTCCCTCAGTCCCTGCTGCTGAAAAACAGCCCCAGGCTGCTACCAGCACACTTTACTTTTGGGATGGTACTCTGCAGGTGATGAACAGTGCTTGGTTTCGTTCAAACATTATGCTTGGAATTGAGGTTCATCAGACCAGAGAATCTTGTTTCTCAGCGTATAAGGGTACTTTAGGTGCTTTTTTGCAAATTCCAAGTGGGTTTTCATGTGTCTTCACTGAGGAGAGGATTGAGTCTGGCCACACCGGCATAAAGCCCAGATCGGTGGAGTGTTGCAGTGATGTTTATCCTTCTGTAGGTTTCTCCCATCTGCATGTATGATCATAGAGCTCAACTAGAGTGACTAGGTGCGTTTCCATTACAGATTTGTGCAAAACTTTGGCAATATTTTCTGAATGTCGATAAAAAAGTATTGCGAAGTGACGGCGTTTCCATTAACCAATGTTATGAGACTTAAACGTAACCTTTTGCCTCTCGTGATAAGTCATGGCAACGCATTTTGGTGGGATTTTGACGGATTGTGGCTATATTTATTCAAAGGAGGCTTATGCATGTATCTTTACAGAAGCAGCAAAGAGAGCCGCTTCAGAAACGTGCGTGGCATGGCTGGAATAAACCATAGACTGTATAAAAACATAAACACAAGCATTGAGTGGCTGTAATCAGCTTCAGTGGCCGTATCAGAGCCACACTGCACCGCAGACGTGTGCAGTGTAAATTGTCTTAAGTATTAATAGTAGGGAAAGCCCCTTATACTGGAGCGCGGCCACTTATGAAGTATTTCTTGGAGGTTATAGTACATTGAAGAATGATCATATGACTTTTACATACGCCATGTGACCTGTAAATGCGAAAAAGCCGTTTCCATTGCAGTTTTGCAAATTAATCCTTTTTCGCATAGCCTGAAAAACCACCTCATGCGAGCGTAAAAACTTTTTTGCGATATATGGCCGTTTTTGCAAAATTGACGCGTTTCCATTAGGCCTATTTTCAATTCGCAATTTCAATTTGCGCAATTTGAAGGGTAATGGAAACGCGCCTACTATCAGCTTCTTGGACACCAGTCTAACCAAGGCCCTTCTCCATCAATTGCTCAGTTTGGCCAGGAGACCAGCTCTAGGAAGAGTTCTAGTTGTTTCAAACGTCTTCCATTAAGGATAATGGAGGCTACATGTTTCTGTGAATCTTCAATGCAGCAGATCTTCCCCAGATGTGTGGCTTGACGCAAACCTGTTTCTGAGCTCTACAGGTAGTTCTTTTGACCTCAGGGCTTGGTTTTTGCTCTGATATGCATTTCAGCTGTTAGACCTTTTATTAAGACGTGTGCCTTTCCAAATCATACCCATTCAATTGAATTTGTCACAGGTTAACTTCACTTGAAGTGTAGTAACATCTACAAGCAATAATTTCAGCTGTCGCAGAATACTTATGCAATGGAATTATTTAAGTTTTTTATTTTTAATACATTTGCAAAGATGTTAAAAACCTGTTTTTTTTTGCTTTGCCATTATGGTTTATGGAGTATAGAATGATGTGGGGAAAAAGCAATTTAAAGCAATTTAACATAAGGCAGCAACATAACAAAACGTGAAAAAAAAGGCACTGTATATATATATATATATATATATTCCCAGATATTTCCCAGTTTTCCATGAAAATTAAGACAAAATACAAAACTGCTCTCAGATCAGTAGCTTGTGCTATAACACCTACCTTTAGTCCAAGAGCTTCCCCTGAGATTACGTTCACAGTGACTCCATCTTTGCTGGGTTTGGGAATCTCTTTGCTCTTCAGCTCCTGGTACTGAGGCTCCACCATCTTATCTGCACTTTTCAAGTTCACCCAAAGCTGAAGGCCATGAATGCGTCCGTCCGACACAGGCATCTCAGCATGAATTACCCCACGACCTGCCGTCATCCACTAACATAACAGAAAACAAAGAACTAGAAGTGAGAACAAATACTAATGTTTTATTCCATTCTATTCCTAATGGAAGACCTATCTGGTAGTATTTGCCAATAAACAGACTAACCAACCGCTTGGTTCAGGGGCTTTGCGCACTGGTTAATGTCATCTTCATGTGGAGCATGAGAGATCTTTATGAGCTTTTATTTCAACATAAAAATTAACCACTCCACTTTTACAACAACAGCTTAATATACCTAATAGAGCACTTTTCTTTCACCTCTTCCTTTTTCGCTCTCTCTTAGTGGAAATTTCCATTCGTTCTGAGGTTTAGCAGCCCTCTCAGGGAGCCATTGGGCACTAGGTGGTTTGAGTTATGGAGTGAAACACTCTGTGCTACTGGTTTTGTCAGGGAGTCCCTGAGTGTTTGATGGTGAGGCTATAGGTTAGGAGCTGGAGGTTAGGTGCGAGCTGTAGTTAAAGTAGTGAGGCCTACAGACATATTAAATGCCCATTAAAACATTCCCTCACTGACCCGGGAGAAATTGAGACAGCTTTATGACACCGAAAAACACAGGAAGTGCCCTACGGGTGTAAAAGCTGTGTGTATGCATGGATATAACATCCTATTAAACGTAAATACATTTTAATTATAGCTTAATTTTAAATTATTTTAATTTGCAACCATTTTTTACAGTCAGTATATAAAAAAAATTAAAATGGTGGCTTTCATTCTATCTATAATATACTTGCGTAAGTGTACATATTTCTGATGTGTACTTTTGGCTTTTTTACTTATATTAGGTGGTCTTAACTACTATGTACTTACATTTAAATTAATAATTTGATACAATGCACTTATTGTGTACATACATGTTTTTACATTGTACTTATATTTAAAAAATACCTGCATGTAATAACATCTGTAATTAATTTCTGTAATCACATTTATAATTACAATGTTGACCAATTCCTTATACCTTAGCCCACCCTAAAACCTAGCCATGCCACCAAACCTTACCCGTATACCACCTCAATACCAGCAAAAGTGTTATGCAATATAATATGAACACAATAAGTACACTCATTGTACTTATTTTTTTTATCTAAGTACATAGTAGTTAAGGCCACCTATTATATAAAGTGGGACCAAAGGTCATTTTAAAATGATATTAGACATGTAGTCTTTAACGTAACAGTTATTTTCCATTGGCAAAATTTCACATGAAAAAAAGTTCAGTGTTGATTAAATTACTACAAGCTGTTCTACCTGAAGATCCCCAGGTTCTAACCTCCCACTGTGACCACAGGAGTCTTCATGGGCTGTTACTCCACTCAACAAGTATGTTACCTGTGCAAAAAGCAAAACATATTTAACCACATATGTGGGAATGAAAGAAAAGTCCCACATGTGAAGCCTTTTGAAACACAGGGATGAGGTGTAAGATTGTAGTTTTCTGATTGAAAATGAAGCCATTTCTTGGGGAAATGTTCATGCAAAAGACAGTATGGAAAAGTCATCAACTTGACGTTCATTTAGAGGAAAATAAACATGTCAAAAATCATACAGGTGAAAGGTGAAACATATTTCAAGGGCTGTGTTTGCAGAGTAGATGCAAAAAGTTTATGTTTGAGGGATTTTGGTAAAGCCCTGACGGACTATAAAGCTAAATGCCAAAAGCAGATACATCCTAGGCTGTGAGATGGAAAATAAAAAAAGTGTTAGCGGTTGATGATCTAATGAACATTTGATCAGTAAATAATTCTGACATAAATACGAATACACATATTTTTCGTATGTCTAGTAAAGGTCTTTTATGCAGCATAAAAAAAGCTAGAGGCTAGATGCTAATGTGTCATAATCAAAATTTGCATATATTAAATAAACATCTTTCCAATTAACAAAATCTGCCCGAAGCCTTTTCCCATTTGTCCACTGAAAAAGTAAAAATGAATGCACATGGTCAGCTGCAGGTGGTCCGACATACAGCGTGGATGGATTGCATGCCATCTCCCACACAGACAATGCTGCTCTCAACAGGATACGTGAGGCAGGGTAAGAGGTCAACATCTGAACCCTCGGAGGCTTGCTTGACCTGTGGCCACAGGCAGCCTGTGATCTGCAAGCACAGCTGTGATCTGACGGTCACGTGGCTGTTCGTGAGCAAACACACCTGCATGTTTTAGGCAACCTAGAAGTCCAATTCTGCTAATAATGCTCATATGAAAAATGAAACCTCTAAAACCTACAAAGAGAGCCTAAACTCGACGAGCAGACTGGATATTTATCCTTCACAGCCTTGTTTTAATTTGCATCTATCCGGACTAAAGTCCATTGTATATTGTTTGTCTGTGTTATGTACTGTATGCCTGCTGAACAAATTACCACTCTAGAGGGAATAAATATTTAGCCAGAATTTGGCTTTAGAGTGCTCTCACAATGAGTCACTTTCCAGCAAATCTCTGAATACAAATATTACAAGAAAAATCCATTCATGAAGAAAGGTGACACATAGTCAGACTCATTCTGTATAGTGAATGAGATGAGACTATATCTGTGCAGATGGCAATAGATGACACCAAACTGTTTAAGGAAACAAGTCTAAATGATTTCCACAGCTGCACAGACCCACTTTCCATAGGAACAGTTTATGCCAAACACATTGCCAAACTGTGAGTAAACAAATGAGTACATCAGATGTTGTAAATAAATAAGGAGACAAGAAGGCTGAGTGAGTTGGTCAGCTTTTCTTTAGTCAAGTTTCAGAAAATACTCTCAGGACCAGTTCTGGCCAAAATACTGACATTTTAAAGGAAGCGTTTTTAATGACCATGCATTCTCTCACAATTGAGCGAACAGTTTTTGAGTACTTTAAACTGCCAAAAACGATGGGAGTGGTTTACTGGACAATCTTTATAGGCTCGGCAGCTTTGTTAAAATTGCCTTTTTTCTGTTTGGACATGACATTTTGAAGGACTCCTTAAAAAGAAAAGAAAGAAATTGAGAAAGAAAACCCAATAGGCTTTAGTTACATCACAGCAACAAACCAGAATTTGCTACTTTCTAGTTGGTTGCATTTGTTTGCAGGGAAGGGCTATTATCATTCCAGAGTGCATCTGATTGGATAAAAAAAATTTGTAGTACAGGATGAGTCATCAATATTTATTGTCAGGTTTTTTTTTTTTGGTTTTTTTTTTAAAGCTGTGTGCTAAAAGTGAATTTTGTCAATGTTTTGTATATTAACATAGACGACCTCAAAGCGAAAATCAACTAAAGCCAGTTTGGGTGACTGCAGTGCTAAAACGTTAAGAACCTGTGAGCCCTCTAGTGGTCAAAGTAATCTATCTTTGCGATGGGTCCACCTTCTCCTATTTGAACTCTTTTCATAGTGTATTTTTAATTCAGTGAATGTTAACCATTCTCAGTGTCATTATTTAGTTGAAAAAAAATGTAATAAGCCTGTCGTATTTAATTATTCAGACGGCTGTAGAAGCATCATCCAAGAAACATGTTGTCACGTTGTACCTGTTACTTTTCTCAGCGATGTTTTGGATGGCCTAATCACAGCCGCTTGTTATTGCAGGATAAGAGTACTAGTTGTTTCACAGAAAACAGATGTCCGTTTATCAGAAAATGTTTAGGTATTTAATAGAATTAAACAACTACACATTTAAGTGTACCAAAGTCTTTCGTAAGCCAACAATAAAAGTGCTGAAGTGTCTTTTTGAGCCGCCACGCGCCTCCTGGCGGAAGACCCGTTTTGTCCTGATCAGAAACAACAGGAAGTAGAAGGCTAGTAACATAACACCGCGATTTACTTCAATTCATTTCATCTGACTGCAAGGATTAATATAAGAAGTGTCGGTCTTTCCATTACTGTATTAATTCATAGTTTGAAAGTACACTAAGTTTGAGTCTTGACTGCTGGAAAATAAATAGCGTTTACCGTCTCAAATCCACGGTGAGGATGATCAGGAAAACCCGCTGTTTGGCGATACAGAATTCATCCAGCATCAAGAAAGGGTCGAGATTCTTCATCTGAAATAAAACAGTGCAATGCAATGCAATTCCACGTGTCATCGTGCATTAAAAAAAAACAATTCATTTCATCTGACTGCAAGGATTAATATAAGAAGTGTCGGTCTTTCCATTACTGTATTAATTCATAGTTTGAAAGTACACTTAGTTTGAGTCTTGACTGCTGGAAAATAAATAGCGTTTACCGTCTCAAATCCACGGTGAGGATGATCAGGAAAACCCGCTGGTTTGGCGATACAGAATTCATCCAGCATCAAGAAAGGGTCGAGATTCTTCATCTGAAATAAAACAGTGCAATGCAATGCAATTCCACGTGTCATCGTGCATAAAAAAAAACGAGTTTCATGCGTTATATAAAAATGCTAAAAACAGCAATGAAAACGTACTTCTTTCCGTCCAATACTCCGGCGAACTCGAGCCCCGACGCCTTCAGACTGTTCCACACTCAAAACGACCTTAGCAACTCTTCTAATCATGATAAACACCTTGATATCTTCTTATAATCCCAATATGTTGCTTTAGTTCTGTTTGTGAGCTCCCAAATGCACCGGAAGTCAAAAACGAAACACGATGAACATTTATTTAGACACAACTCTGCTCTGCAGTGTTATTCGCTCTTATAGTAAATCTGTATTCACCTATGACAGGTGTATGTTTTGTATGTTGACGTTTTGGGTTTGCCATGGTTTCCTACACAGATCACAGTCAATCCCACTAGATTCGGATTATTTAAAGGCGCAGTGCAAGTTACAATGACAATGCAATATTTTGAGCCACATAAGAGTGACTGCATTTACATATGCATTTACACCCCCCCCCCCCCCCCCAAAAGGTTAGGTCATTATTTATTAGTCAGCTTCATATACAGTGCAGCATCATAAAATATAATTTCACAGCTGTTAGCATTTCCCCCCTTCCTTGTTACTTGACACCTGAGACTGCTGATAAGGTTCTCTCTGTCTTTGCAGGTGTTTGTATGTAGATGTTACAACCACATGAGGCCGTGCATATGTGATATGTATTCTTCAGTGCGGGTCTTCTCCATCCTTTCTGATGTACTCTCATCCAATCCACTGTGCTGAGCTATGATGTCTTTGAAAATGCGTATACTCGCAGCTTGACCTCCTGCAAGGTTCACTGCATGAGGCCCAACCTGTGGATATTTCATATATTTATGACCTATTCTGTACTTGTGGTAATGTTATCTGCAGCCTAAATCATAGTTAGCGTGCAGGTGTTATCTAGAAATGACTCAGTGATGACTCATAGTACGATGACTCACTCAAATGTTTTCACCTCATACCACACATAATAATACATAACAAGAACATAACAGCACCTGAAGTGCTGCATATTGTCCCATCATGTAGAGGGGGCATCCTGCTGTCCACTGCAGTGATTCTGTTATGCATGGCCAGCCCTCCAGAACCTGTCAAGCAGGAAATGCTTAACTTTTGTACAGTTGTGCACATGAATAATTAAAATAACTTTTCAGCATTTTAAAAACCTGCTGTATTTGATACACATTTCTTAAACTTCTAAATTATCAACATGATCAAAATTGATTGAAAAACGTGTTGTACACAATCTACTACATGTCTTCTGTCATCTAATTGATAGTTCATACTTTTTAGCAAGTCAAAGGTCTTTAGGTTGTGGTACACCATTTTGAATTCTTTATATTGTAGTAATATTTCAAGATGAGCACTTACTGGACTGAATCAACTTTACTTGATTACCCATACATGATTTTTTAGAAAATTTAAAAATGTGACTATCAAATATGATACATCAGGCTTTTAAAGAAAATTTATTTTTATTTATTGTAATGCATTTCATTAAATGAAAACTACAAAGCTTTGATTATGATACTAAGGATTTATGAGCCACAAAATCCTGATGTATCAAATATGATACTTAACAACAAGGGTTAAAATTCTGGTCTATTACCATGTAAGTATATAGTGTAATAATGTATTTATGTTTGTATTATGATTCTTATGTTGAACCCCAGTTTTAAAGTTATTGGTTAAGTACAAACTTGAAATGTCCACTTGCTCACTTGAATGGGGAATTTTGTCATGATGTCAGAGAGTAAAGGGTCCTGGGTAGCATCCAGTTTGCAGCCTGTTGCCAGCCAAATCTTTTCTCCACCCCATTGTTCTCCACTGCACAAGGAAACCCTCCAACGCTGTGACTGATAACACCATTTAGCTTCAGCCACCTTGGGGTAAAGACATTTTAAATAATAAAATATTAATTACATTTAATTAAGAAATCTAGTAACTTGGTTTGCACTGCTAGACTCTTTGAACTTTGTGCTCAGCTGTTAATGACTCATGACATGTAGCATCCCACTTGAGCATAGCTGCCTCACAATATAGCCAAACGATTTTGACACACCTGGCAATGAGCTCTGATCAGGAGCTGGCCACTCTGAATGAAAGGCTGAAGTTGTGCGTAGGCCTCAGGGGTCACTGCTCCTCCTTTCCTGGCTTGTTTAATCATCGCTAGCCTCTTGTGAAGACTTCTTTCATTATAGAACTGCCTTAAGTAGGCCAGGCCATCCATCTTGATCCCATGCTCAACGTGGGAATAGCGTCCAATCAGACTCTCTATATCCCCAACGTCAAACTGCTTCAACTGAGAGAGAGAGAGAGTAAAGTTTGTTATTTTAAATTAATAAATTAATTAAGCAATGGTGCTGATTTTTTGCTTCTTCGAGATTGAAGAAAGAGGGGTGGTGGGATTAATTTGGTGGTTCATATATCTGACATAATTTCTACAATGGCCAACATCACCTAGAGCACCTTTTAATAAACATTCCATGTCCATTCATTTATTTGGCAGGTAGCAGGTTGTTAATCTCAAAATAAACCCCTTCAGGGTGATACGCGACCCCTAAACTATTGTTAGGGATTATTTGGCAGTTATGATCAGTCGATTTTACATTTTCCTTTATGTAGCTATGTTTACACTCAATTTACCTGTAAGTGTTTTCGTAAGACCCAGGTCACATGACATGCACCCTGCTTTAGCGCAATTGAGATAATATGGGCGCTGGTCAGACCTCCACCTACCACCATCACTCTCTGACCCATCTGACACACATGAGGACAACCTGAGGAAAAGTGCGTATTCATCATCTTACATTATTCAAATATAGTATGTATTTAGTTATTTTTTGCTTCATATCTGGCTGATCAGGAATTGATAACATTTAGAAACTCACCTGAGGAGGATTCACCCATCTTTTCATCTGTACAGAAGTAATGCATGAGCTGCACTGTGTGTTGTAGACTTTCCTCTGGGTAACTCTCCTGTATTGCCCGCACCCAACATGGGATGTTTGCCATCTGCGCCCTGGAAGGTCCAGTCGCCATGATAACTGTTTTTGCCTCTATATTTTCCCCAGTGTGTAGTGTCACCTTGAAAAACTTAACCTTGCTCTCATCCTCAATTAAGACTGGGATGATTCTGTCCACTGTGGCTCGGATTAAGACACTGTCCAGGTCAAATTTGCGTACCTAGGTGGAAGTCCTTTGCAATGTAATCCATAATCTATTGTTATTTCATAGAGCATTTATAATTTGACTTTTAAAGTTAGTTTAGTATTAAAACACATTGCACTTAGCATTCCAAATTAGATATTTGATCATGTTATAGCTGAAACTCAATTTCTCATAATGCTCAGAGCATCATGCAGCACAGTTTTTCTTAATACCAGTAGTGCTGTTAAAGCAACTGTATGTAGTTTTGTGTAGGTTTGCGACTTTAGAGCCCCCCTACAGTTAAAAGAGTGGAATTCACTGTCGTAAATATAACACTGCCGTAATTACTGTGGACAGCTGCACTTACATTTGTTGCTGCCGTAAAGCAATCCACCCTTTTCGGGGAATTTCATACCCGCTCACCAATCTTACATATACTTGAAGAACAGCCATTTGTGAGGGAGTGTGAGAAAGAAGCCAACATCATCCTTATTAGAAGTCAGTGTACCATCAGAATGACTTTGAATGATTAGGCTATACTTGAAGAAAAACAAACTTACATTCAGTTGCTTTAAAACCAAGCAGTCCAGTCGGTTTATGAATTATTGTTAGTAAGGCATTCTGTTGCATGATGTTCAGACCTGTTCCTGGAAGAAGTCAATACTGAGTTGTGTTCCTGGAAGACTGAAATACAGGTTTTTCTGTAGGCCCTTTGTTGTGCTAAGAAGCTTTTTGTCCTTCTTTCCCAGGCGATTGTCGTTAAAAAATGCATTCTCATCCTGAATATACATTTTCTCAGGTAAACAGTTCAGCTCATCCTCCCGATTTTGCTCCAGCACAAAGTCCTGCAAGGCCTTCTGAGATTGTACACAGATGCACAAACTATTAGTCCTTTTGATAGACAACATATTTGTAATGTTTATTTCTTGGTTTGCATTATTGTTTATACATTGTTCGCGTCTGACCATCTGTTCATCTGTTGTATTTTCTTATAACAAAGTACTATAACAATTTTTATGCTTTAAATCAGGGATTTCCAAACTTTTTTTGTCAGTCGAAGCCCTTTGACCTAAATATGTTTACTTGAAGTTTTCTTTTGAAGTTTTCCTTTTTCCTTTTAGATTTTAAAGGTGACATATTATGCCCCTTTTTACAATATGTGATATAAGTCTCTGGTGTCCCCAGAATATGTCTGTGGAGTTTCAGCTCAAAAAACTGAAAAGATATGTATTTAATCTGTACCTATCTGTATTTATGTTATCTGTATGCACCAAGGGTCTGAGAGTAACGCAATTTCAATTCTCTGTGTGTATGTGCTGTACATGTGGAAGAATTGACAATAAAGCAGACTTGACTTGACTTGATATGTCACCTTTAAGTTAACATTTCAATAGTTGAATAACACATGCTGTTCACGGTTCTCTGATGTTAGTTAATTGTCATAATTGTCAAATTATGTTTAGTTAGACAAACTAAATTTCAGCATTATAGTAAATGTTTTATTTGAGTTGTTTTTCAATTAAAATTATTTAGTTTATTTTTCCATTCTTATCCAGTTATTTAGCTTCTCATAAATTTACGAACCCTCAGTTTGGAAATCCTGCTTGAACTTTTTCGAAGAGTAGAGTATTTCAAAAGCACACGTTATCAAAACGGAGATGCAGATGTCAACACATGCTCTCCAGTGCTAAGTTACCTTGTTAAATGGATCGGTGTGCACCAGCGTGTGTGATCGAAGGTGAGGGATGTTCAGGGCGGTAAACTGACTTTCCCACAGTGATGTCCATTTTCCATAAGAATCCACCACTTTGAAATGCAGCGGAGGACATGGCAGATATTTGGCTTCATTCTTTGTGTCAAGCACTGGCCCTGTTGGAAAGAAGATCTAAATCGGTCTGTGATTATAGGATATATGCATAGAAAAATAAACCATAACCAATCTGTTGTCCTTTTTACACACTGCTTGACTCACTGATGGGTTGTCTCTTTTTGTTTTTGTAGTCTACACTTTTAGCTTTAGTTTTGCTCAGCTGAATTCCCTGAAGGATGTCAGCACTAGATTGGCAGAGAGGTTTTTCAGGCTTTGAGAGCAGAGTAGCGAGGGTTAAAGCATGAGGACCTCCTCCAATTATTAAAACATCCAACATCCCTAAAGAGAAAGAGAGAGAGATGGAGGGAAGAGCTAATGAAAGCAAGCAAGAGAAAACAGCAAAGGAGAATTAATGTTTGCATGTCTCCTCTAGTTGAATGGTCTTACTAGTTAGGAAAATAGAACAATCTTGTACTTGCTTATGAGGTCTGTTTCCTCAAGATGAAGAGCAGTTGGTTGACGAAGTGACCTGTTGGACAAACAGTTTTTGGATTGGGAATAGTGTGGCACGTGTTACACTCTATAGATACTTTGGCTCATGATTGGCTGTCTGACTGAGTGTCGGTCTCAGAATAGCTCTGTCCTAGAGCAGAGGGGCTTAATTTTAGCTCACACTCATCACTGTTATCTAAACAAGAAAGATGTGTAAATACTGAACATTTTGGTATCTCCAAATCTCCAAAATATAAAATGACCATTTAACATTTTATAAAATATTGTTGGATTGGATATTCTGGATTGTTATTAGTAGTAACTCTGAAGGATATTTGATGCTACAAGTTTGTTGTTTGCTATATCAGAATTGTTATTATTAATTACTAACAAACATTAAATAAATGATCCAGATCAATGCCAGATATGGACATAGTTGTTTGTTTTGTATAGATGTGGTCTGTTGTAGCAGCTACATGATCGATTCAGAGAGGAACCTCTATTTTGATGTGCCAAACTGCTTGAGTGAGTATGTTTGTATGTATGAGTGTCAGCCTCAAAAATGTGGCTCTGAAGGTTTTTCTGAAGGTTTTGAGGATGTTTATTAATATTTTACATTGTGGTTTGAGTCAAAGCACCATGTAGTTCCTCTGGTATAATTTTGGCAATCATGTATGCATTGGTTGGTGTGTGTGGTGGTGGAATGGCGTAAAACTGTCTGGTGACTTTTTGGCAGGGAACCACAGTATCAAAATATCATATGTAATGTTTGAACCATGTTAGCAAAACTATCAATGTAAAATGAAATATTTCTTTCAAAAATAGTATTCCTCTCCAGTGAGCTGCCACTTTGAAATGTTCTTGTATGGGAAAAAAAGCTAAATACAAATTCTTCAAATGTTCTCTTATTGTGTTTTTTCCAGAAATATTCTCGATTCCTTTATTCCTGTCAGAGACATATGTATAGTTACTCTTTCCTTAGTCCTTCTAACTGATATTTGTTATGTTTCATGCTAAAAACTAGCATTCAGCATTGAAAAAGAAAATTATGAGTTTAGTCTTATGTGGACAGATGTACATCAGCAGTTGGACAAATGTCCACTAGAGGGAGACATGGACATGTCCAACTTATTCGTCACTGTGTTTTGGGGGTTGTTAGCCCAGTCTGTTGCTTTATTTCATTTTTGTTCTTTTATTTTTATTGTTTCATCTTATTTCTCCATTCTCATTAAATATTTATCTGCCAACCACTTTCTACCTCTTTCTCATCAAATTTTTAAACCTACCTTCTTTCTCCCACCATTCATTAATATCCAGTAAAACCGGATATGCCGTTTTTATTTTATTTTGTTACGTTTTGGCCTGAGGCTGAGCTCCATGTTAGAGAAAGTGTAGTCTTGCTCAGCATCATGTTTAGGGACGTGAAGATGTGAAATTGATGTCCATGTTTTTGTATGTAAATTGTGATTGACCTGTGCATATTTCTCTTCTGATTCAGATGAGATGACTTTTTCACTGAAGAAAGCTTTATAATTACCTCTGTACACTACACAATGAATCTCTTATTTACATTGTATTTAGACTTTGTTATAATGAGAGGATTCACGAGTGTACAATACTCAGCACGGTACAAAAACAGTAAGTGGAATTTTACCTTTTAACACCTCTTTGGTCATTGCGTTCATGAAATCAACAGATATGTCTGTGATTGGTTACATTAAATGTTATTATTAAAGCTTCAATTGAGGGTGCTTACCAGCTACTAGCATGAACTGTTCCTTTAAGCTGAAACTAGACTTGTTTTGTTCGTTTGCAGAACTGTAATAAAAAGGACCTGAAAAGCATCTGTCCTGATGACCGAGAAAAATGGTCTCTTGTATTTTACATGTCTTGTGGGCGAGACAATCTCCGGCGTTTTGAGTCAGCTCTTTACAGAGGATGGTTTATCTACACAGAAAGGGTAGATAATAGAGTATTGGACATGCATAAAGAAGATCAGTTTGACTGTAAACAAGACAGTGCCTTCTCATTCATAATTCTGAGTGAGAATGGGTCATGTTAGAATTCAAGGTCTTGATATGGACATCACAGAATTGTGAAGAGTTTGTATAGTAGTGATAACTTATTACAAACTATTACAAACTATTTTAAGTATCAGTTTTGTATATCACACTTGTATATGACATTTTATAACTGGGAATTGTTCTCAAATTAACTTGCAATTCAAAATAATGATTATTCAAACCCAATCCTAACATAATGAACTGATCTTACTGATTCAAGCTGACATGACCATCCCTACTGAAGCCTACTGCTTCATTAAAAATGTCAATCAATTCTTTGGACTGGCATTTTGGAAAGAAGCAAATTGGTCAGATTAGTTTGTTAAGAGAATGTGCTGGAGACTGTTTAAGCGTTGGTTAAAGTTGCCACATGTTTTGGATGAGTTTAATTGTTAAGGTTGTCTTAGAGGAAGCAGCCTCTTCCAAAGAATGGTGTGTTGTACTGCCATCGCAGTAGTGAGTAGATATGTATCATACTATGAGCTGACGTTGTTTTGTTTTTTTGTCATCTTTTTTATATTCAGCTACTTTTAAACTGATGTTTGTAAACCAACACATGTAATTCATATTTATTTTTATTGCTAACTGCTTATAGTTACTTTTTGTGCTGAAATATTATAATTTTGTTGAAAAGATTAATTATAATCTTTTTTTAAACACAATGTGTGTCATTCCTGTATTTATATCAGCTATTATTTACATTTGTTAGTATAAGATAAAAGCTACTAACTACTTGCTTTTTCTGAATAAATGTATCATTTACTATATTAACGTGTGTTTATGTATTATGTTTCTGCTATAAAATCACAACAAAAAAGTTATGAATCAAGTTCAGTGCTTCAGCAATTGTTTCAGATTATATATATATATTCTCAAACATGGAAAACAGCAATAACGGCATTTGCCACAAAGACGTCGCTGCTGCCGGTGCAAATGCAACCAGGAAAACGAGGGAGAAATTGGTTCTCTAGGAACAACCCTGCCAGCTAGTTCCTAGAACGGTGTGAAAAACTGATTTTTTTTTTTCAAAATGCCCCCAATTTTAGTTCCCCCAAATGGACTTCCTAGAACTAAAACCATTCCTAGTTCCTGCAGTGCAAACACACCCAAAAAAAGGGTACTTCCATTAATGGTTCTAGGTTCCTCTGGAGAGAAAGCCCCTTAAGAGGCCCAACTCCTGCTGCAGAAAACACCCCCAAACCATGACAATTCCTCCTCCACCTTTCACTGACTTCTTTACACACTTTGGGTTCAGTCTTTCCCCAGTTTGATAAACATTGGACCAAAATAAATTAAACTTGCTTTCATCACTGAAGTGAATTTTGGAACAGTTTTCCTCTGTCCACACAACATGCTCCTCTAATCTAGCCTTTTGATTCTTTCTGCTGATGAGAGATTTGCTCACTGCAGAGTGTACTTTCAGTCCACATTCTCTTAAATGTCAAGACACTGTATGCCGAGACAGATCCTTACCCTGTTCAGTACTGAACTGGCGAGCAATTCCAGCTGCAGTGTTGAACCGATTCCCCATTGAGATTCTCCGCATTATTCTGTTTTCTCGTGCATTTGTCTTTCATGGACAACCAGCCTTTTTGAGGGGCTTGAATGAGATAGTGACATTGTAAAGATGCAATATTCTAGAAATCGCAGATTTGGAACAATCCATTTTTCTTGCTATGGCAGCTATTGACCTTCATCTGGACAACCTGCTGTTGGAGGGTTTCAGTCACTTTAGATTGGCTCACCGTTTTGCAAAGTCAGTGAAAACTTAGGCTACAGTAGATGGGGAACCGATTGCTCCCCCATGATATTTTGTAAACTGTATATATGACAAAGAACTGCACAGATGCAGATATTATAACAATCTATCGATAAACACACCTTGTCCTCTCGCTCTGCGCCGCCGCAGTCTGCGGATTGAAAAAGAAGCGCTGAAAGACGGGGAGGAGCAGATCGAAGTCTGCCGCCGTTTTCAGATGAAATTTGAAGGGGAATGAGGCGATCACGAATTCGTGTAGTTTATGGAGCTAATCGCAAAATTTTAGGTGGGCTGGGTAGTCATTTTAGCTATAGACCCCCTAAAAATGGCCTAGCGACGCCCATGGACTAAGCAGTGACCTTGAAACTTAGGAAATTATTGGTTGTTCTCTCATTTTGATCTCCACTATTTTAAAATAATATAAATCTGTTTTTTACACTTCCTAAAAGAATGTCATTGAACATATGTTAATCAAAATAACTTTATACTAATTCTTATTCGATTTAGTGTGTAAACATATTTATGATTACACATTTTATTAATCACATTTAATCTTAAGAATCCTGCGTAATTACATTCACAAAAAATTACTTTAAATAATGTTACTAATTATATGAAGGAAATAGCTTAATTTAGTTGTTTTTATGAAAGATTTTGATTAAGAATATGAATAAAATTATTTTGTAGGTCATAACTGTCAGTGCCCTAAAGTGCCCTATGATGCAATTCCAATATAAAATGTGCTATTGGCAAGAATTGCATCATCTTTGTCACTAAACTGGTTATAAGCCAACACTCTTCATTTTTAGGGCAAAACAATGATTCATTTCTGATGTGTTTCCCCTTCAATAGGCTAATTACTTCTTCATGTTGAACGCCCCAGCAGTAGGAAGATCCCCACGTTTACCACTAGTCTCATTACCAACAGCCAAACTGTGACCTTTTCTACCTCCATTAACCACTTTGTCTCAGGTCGGCATAGAGGGGAAGAAAAGAACAACTTTTTTTCAAGTTCACACTTTTTAACAAAATAATTATGTGTTATTACCTCATGCCTTTTATAGGCATCTAGGCTTAATAAGTGAACGTTTGAAATTACTGCTGAGTATGTTTTGGTAATGATGCTAAGAGCCAGTTTTGTCCAACCTCTTCGAATTACGTTTGTGTTTTCCCCACCAACACACCATCAATTTTTCCAGCCAAACCCCACGCTTTGGTGTATATGTCTAGTTACTTCCTCTTCCTCCCGCATGAGGGCTTTGACATTGAAAAAGCAGCGTTTCAAACGCAGGTTTCTCACATCCTTTTTATCAGCGCTGAGATCAACATGGAAGCAGAGGTATGTAGCAATTTGATATTTTGTAGCTGGTGTAAATATAAATACATATTTCGCAAAAGCATTTTACAATAAATAGCAATTGATCAATGTCTATATACATTTTCAGTAAGGGAGATAAACTCCAGATGATAAGTAGTGCAAAAACGTAGGCATTTTCTGATTTCCTAGTTCACTTTTACTTAATATGCTCTTTCACTTCTCTGTTCATTTAACCTGTATAAATGTTACGGGAAAGAGAAATTAAATTGTCATGTTTACTACGACCTTTCCGCCTAACGTTAGTCAGGAAACTCAGTGACACGTGTGACCGCGTTGAGGTTGGCATTTGAAACAAACACATTCAAGAGATCACCTTTTGACTCAACTAAAGCAATTCATCTCCTCTCGTAGACTGTACGTCATCCGAGCACTGAAAAAGCTCAATCGGAGGCCACCCAATGCAATAAAAAGATGTTGAAATGCATGAGATTCAGCCTGTCCATGGAAGACACTGAGTTGGGTGCGCTTCAGGAACCAGAGCATCCACAGCCAGAGCAGAAAGAGAAGGACATGGAGGACAACTGTTTCGTGGATGACGATGTGCTTCGTTCCCTGGCAAACATGAGCTTGAATCTGATGGTTGATCAAGACTTTGATGCTGACAACCCTTTCTGCAACGGTGATTGGCAGCTTAATGAAGGCAAGATCGTGGCCGAGACAGCTGACATTGCCTACAGTAAGAATGATTTATTCTTCTCCGTTTTTATTCATTTTGAAGTGTCTAATGTTGAAATGTCCATTTCTTTCATAAGAAAATGGAAGTTCTGGTTGTAATATTCTGCTACCTTTTTTCAGTTTCTGCACAAATTTGGAAAGTAATTAAAGAGCAAAACAATTTGTTCCTGAAGACACTCAAAGGATGCAATTATGTTGCATCAAAACAGAACGAGATATGTTTGGAAAAAACCATGTCAGGTTTGCATCAAATAATGAAAATCATATTTTTATTATTACCTTGTGACAGTATTTTAAAATGAGATTTTCCACAAATTTCACTTTTTTTCCCCCCAGCAAAAATCACCATCTTTCATGGCACCTTCCTTGGCATGGTCACCAGTGACAGAGACTCAGGTGTTCCTGTTGTGCTGAACTTCACAGGCACAGACAACTTCCTCTGCTGCACCGGCCAAGGAGAAGACAAGATATTAACAATCAAAGTAAGCTTTCAATAATCTGTTTCTTGATTTTTGCAAGGGTTGCATAGTGGGGCATTGCTCTGCAAGTTACAAAAATATGTTTATTGTGCTCCAATATAGTATTACACTTCCTGTGTAATCAGTCTTCCTGTTCAACTTCAACAGCAAACCAACTTTTTTTATGTTTATTTCAGGCGTATGACAGAACAAATATACACATTTCTGCAGATGACCCAGAAAAATCATCCCTTATTTTCTACATGGCTCAAAAGTGTGATGGTCTCCGGTATTTTGAGTCAGCGCTCCACAGAGGATGGTTCATTCACACTGTAAATGATGTTGTTGTGAAAATGAAAAGAGGCAATAATACATCCAGCAGTTGCTTTGTCTTAGAGTGAGACCACAGAACCCGCTGGATATTGAAACATCTTATTTAAGGATTTTATTCAGAATGTTCATAGTATTTTTAAAATACATAGAGTACTTTATGAATATATTTATAATATTAACCTCTATTTACATTTGCCCGTATAAGCTACTAAAAATTTGAGCTTTCCCATTGGTTAAAATATAAATTTACTCTATCACATTATAATGTGTTCATGTAGCTTTCTACACTTTTAATATCAAGCATTTAAATAAAACATTTCCAAGGGAAAAAAAAATATTTTTATTCTATTGGAAAAAACAAAACGTTTCCAAAAGCAGGCAATGGTGTAGATGCTTTCCCCACCCCCCTTCCCCCATCGCTCTCACATTTTTGAAAGCACCTATTTCTTTATAGTCCGGTTTGTTCAATGTCTTCCTCAAAGGCTTTGTTCTCTTCTCCATCTGAATTCTCATATGGGTTCACAGTCTCGTCAGCCTTCTTTGTTTTCCTGAAAAGAAAAAAAAGTTTTGCACAAATGTAAGCAATTAGATATTCTAAATAAAGATCTTGTATGGATTTAATTCATAGGAATTATTTAGTTTTTTAAACCCCATATTTTACTATTTCTATAGAAATTAATTACCGGTATTATAATGTGTAACATTTCTAACTTTGATGCTAAAAATAAAGTGCTTATTGCATTGTACCATTGTTGGATCATGTCATCTTTGTGTAATTTTTAATCATTGTCCACAATGCATATAGCTGTTATGATGATGCAGTTCTACCAAACATGTCAGTGTTTTAATATGGACAAGAATGACAATCTTCACTGACACTGAACTGGCTCTAAGTTGCTTTCAATCATTGACTCATTGTTGAAGTGTTTCACCTGCAGTACTTACTTCTTCCTGTTTAATATCCCTGTGGTAATGAGGTAGATCCCCCCAAACACAGTTACGCCCATTACGACTCCAAATACCACCAGCCAAACTGTGATTTTTTCCTCTTTGGGTGGAGCTAATGTTGCTTGCAGCCCAACAAATTCCAGCGTTTCATCATTGAGTAAAAATGCACCATTGATGCGTTCTCTGGACAACCTGTGAAGAGTTAAAAAGGGAAATTCCCTGGAGCTGCTCAAGCTCTCCTTAATTATGTCATGGCACCCAATATTCATACACTCTATAATTAGTTTAAAAATATTATATAGTTATAAAATATATTTAAAAATATAGTATATGGTATGGTTTTCGAGAAATACCAGATAGCTGCCTCTACATCTGCTTTGGGAATGACTGTGTCTGGTTTGGTTGGATCCATCACAACGAAATAAAAATAAATTCTGGCCGTTTCATTGTATGTGTTGATATTCTCTGGCCTGTGCGCAACAAATATGTTGTGCAATGTCACAATGACAATGATTCAATCACACTCTGAAATGTGCAATTAGTGAAGGATAAGAAGAGATAATACTTGCATGAAATTCATTTCTATTCCCTTTTCTTCCAAGTAGTACTGGCGCATGGCAAAGCCCATAGTGGACTTAAAGAGATACATTTCATTTGCATTCCAAGTGTACTGGAGATTAAAAATGACAGCAATTAGCAAAGGCAAATTCCATTTCTATCTGTAAATCATTGTTTGTTCAAAATTAAAAGAGGCTTACTGCATCATCTCCCATGGCAGAGTTTAGGCGTATTCTGACTTTGAATGCATTTGAATCATCTTTATTTACAGAAGATGCTGTGAATAAGTAAATACACTTAATGATTTATTTAATTTTTTCAATATATAGTATGTGGTCATATCAGTACTTGCACTGATGAATGAAGATTATATAATAGCTGAATTTATTATAAGAATCTAAAGAAATGTAATGTTTATGTTCAAATGAAATACTAACTTATGTTAATATTGACATCCCAGCCAGGCACTCTGTTGTTCTTCTGGTTCCCCTCCTTTAGCCAGTCCATGAGAGTGCTGAAGTAATGTAGCAGTGGCTGAGAGTCCATCCTCGTGGTTCCTGCAACATCTTCCAGAGCATGAGTCCAAGACAAGGATCTGCCTAACTCAAGCATATGCCTGCAGACCAAAATATTTTTGTTTGTTTATAGCAGTTATATTTATCCTAAAATTAAAGAATATAGGAGTTATTAATAGAACATACATCATTCTGCATACCCGAGTTTGTTACCAGCTTTGGTTGAGTTTGTAATGTCGCATTTATAAAGGGGACCGGTGTGGCCAGCTGCCTCACATAAGGCCTCTTGAAACTGGAACTGATATATGGTTCTGGTAAAGTACCTATTAGAGAAACAAGACATGGCTATTCATATGGCTATTAGCCTATGTGACATTATTTCTTGCCGTTTTAAATTCCTTTAAAATAAATATTGCATTACACAAAGAAAGATTTGTTAAAATTCGGGTTATACACATTTTTTGATACAGAATTCCCAATTCATTTAAAAATAGCAAGCTCTCAATTTGACTCACACTCAGGTATATCTTAGCAGGGCTGCCAAGTCTTACTTACGCATTCAGCGTGAAACTCTCGCAATTGACACTGTTCTCATGCTCTACGCCACATATCCATTTTATCACGCAGTGCAAAGCACCCTCAAAACCTCAAGAACTCCCTCAGGTTAAACTGCAATAATAAGCTATTAGCGAAACAATCTGGCAACCTCTCCATTGCGTATTAGTGTTTGTGTATTAGTTTAGCAATGGACAGGAGAAAGATACACTATATGGACAAAAGTATTGGGACACCCCCTTCTAATTAATAGGTTTGACTACTATAGTAATTTCCATGAGTACAAATCTTAATGTTTAAACATATAATGATATTCTATGGAATTGTGTGCTTCTAATTGTATAGCAACAGTTTGGACAGGACCCTTTTCTATTCTAACATGACAATGCCTCTGTGTATAAGAGAAGGTTCAAAAAGAAATGATTGATTCGGTCAGTGTGGAAGAACTCGACAGGTCTGCAGAAAGCCAAGTCTTAATCCCAGCTGAACACCTCTGGTGTGACTTTAAATGCAGACCTTGAGCCAAAAACTCATCACCAAACACCAATGACTTGTACATACACTATATGGACAAAAGTATTGGGACACCCCTTTCTTTAGAACTGAAAAAGGCACTTACAAAACTGTGGCAACAAAGATGGAAAAATAATTCATGTATTTAAAAATTGTATTACCAAATGTAATTAATTATTTTCAAGCGATTTATCTTAGATGATAACCACTATGTTCAAAGTGTATGTGTGAGAGAGACACAGAGATTTGCAGTTTGTGAACACAGAGCAGGATAGAGTACAAGAGAGAGGAAACAGTAACAGTATTGATCGTATAACAGCTGAGTGTTAAGAGATTCATCTGTAGAAGGGAGACAAATAGCATCAAATACATTACTGTATACCTTGTGATACTGTCATACGGTACAGTGACAACATTTACTGTATTGGCAGCAAACTCTGTTCTAGCACAAAACCTCATGGCTGTGTCAAACTACATGGGCTAACTTTTGATGACACACTGAATAGGTACAATTACAAACAAAAAAAATTATATCAATTAAGTTACATTCTATTTTCTAATGCATCAACTGAAATCTGTGTTACTGCAACTATTTCAGCAAGAAAGGTGATTTGCAATGTATCTCGCATTGTTTGCTGTTGAATGAACTGTTGTTCATTCAGAATTTTCTGTTGTGTTTCAGTGAAACAAACCAAACCAAATTAATCAATATTTTCAAAGAGTGAGTATGTGGACTGAAAATGTGTAGGCCTCTAACTGTGATGAAAACATGAGATCTGGTTTCAAAAGCTGTGTTACAAGTTTGATCAGTTTGGATTTCTGTAATAAGAATTTTGAAAATGTACCCCTTACTTGTGAAAATAATAGTGCTGTGCTTGATACATCGATACGACGATGTATCGACACAGAGATTTGATATAGCTAGCCCTGTATCGATATTGTGACACGTGTGCAGCAGTGGACCGCGCTTAATTTGAATACAAGAACAAAGTTTAAAATGGAGCAGAAAAGTGTGAGGTTTCTAAAAAAATTATGAATAGAGAATAATATATAGGCTATAACTAGGTTTAATCTGGCCACAGAGGAACACAACTAGGTTGCCTGATATATAGAGACTTAATGCCCGAAACAGAGCTTCCCACTTGCGCAATACGGAAATATCTGCTAAATGTGTTACTTATCTTTGTCAACCTGGCAACCATGTGCAAGCGCGCTCTCTCTCCACTGTGGATAAACGAGCTTGCTTTCTGAAAACACCAGTTTTAGTTTTAGCTTGCAGTTTAGTGATCTCCACTTCAATATTCTATTCTCAGAAAAGTGTAATTCATCAAGAGTTCATTTATATGAGAGAGAGAGAGAGAGAGAGAGGCTGTTTATGTATGAATTACCACCGTTTTGCCACGTTTCTCTATTAACAGTAAAGCTGTGGCTTTAATTCCTTCAGAAACAATGATGTTACCAGCTCCTTGTTGAGAAAGATAATGTAGCTCTTGAGCGATTAAGCTATTTAGTTGATAAAATTGCAGGGCAGCGCTAAAAAGTTTGTTCCTGAATGTCTGAGTGCGGCCACAACGTGACCTGTGTGAGTGACTGAGCGTGTGTGTGCGTTAGATACAGAAGACGGTGCATTAGTTTAGAACTCTTCTAATTTTTATTTTTATTTTTTTTAAACGTAGAGAGTGTGTTAATTTGTGCAATGATAACCTACCAGCAATGTAAATATGATTTTTACAAATATATTAGAATGAGTAGCCTACATTACAATATAAATTTATTAGGAGTTCATTATTATTTATGGGCTTAAAAACAAGATGCAAAATATCAGAATATTGTACCTGGTGGGGAGTGCCCAATGTAAACATGAAACATATGCCACAGTACATAGATGGTACAGTTATGGAAGCCCTTCATAATACAGAGGTCAACTGCCTGCTCTGTCAGTAGTTAGAAACGGCACTATAGTATGCAGTTTAATAAACAGCTGTTA